CCACTTGTTTAGGATGTGCTCTCAAGGGCAGATGTAATTGGATTCAAGATCATCTCAGAGCAGATATTCAGCAAATGGAAACTGGATTTACTCAACTGATTTTTTTCTTGTAAATTTCTTCTTAGCTCATACCAAAACACCATTCTTTGGGACATAAGAAATCGCAATGGGAAATTGCTGTTCTAAGGTATAAGTATACTGGTGAGAAGTTAGCATTACTGGGGACAGAAGCTATGGTACAGACCATATTGCTAGTTTGAGTGTAGCTAGAATTTAAACCTTATAAACTGCGCATTGCATGACATTAAGAGATAGGAATCTCATGCCAAAGTTTTCAAACCCTAAGTAGGCTTAATATGAGTTGAGAATTTTTGAAAACACCCAAGAAATTCATATTGTATATACTGTTCTTGCTTCAGTCTCTGTTGTGTGGGTAATTTCTTAAAGAGCTAGTGGACCTATCTGGCTGGAAAATATTCAGTGTTGCGTCAATTTACATTTTGCAGAGCTCACTTTCATAACCATATAATTAGAAATAGAAGCAGAATTTTTCAAAAGTGTTGTCACATTTTTAAAATTTGAAAACATTAGTGCAAGACTGAATTTGAAAGTTGGAAAGATCTACATCCCCCATTAATGCCATCTCAAATCCTTGCCTACCAGCTTGACACTGTAGGCAATTTGGTTTCCTTGTCTTTGGTTGACAAACAAAAAGAAGGACCCCAAAGCCACCAGCAATTATAAAATGCCAACCAAATTAAAAAAAAAAAAAGTCAAATCCTGACTTCTAATATAGTAGATGCCACTAGGCTATTATGACTAAATTTTGCCTATGTGAGGGTATTCACTAAGTCTTCACGATTAAGGAGTTTTCTTAGCAGTAGGTCTTATTTTTTCATCAGGTAGAGAAAGGTGCAAGACTAAAAGCCCTAGAAACACAACCTTGTATCCAGTCTTTGGAAAACACAGAATTCTCTCACTGTCCTGTTTATGCATCTAAAATTTAACTCACAAGATGAAAGAGAAGCTTCACCCATATTTAAACAACAAAGACGCTGATGAATGAACAGCAGCTAAAATCAGTATTTTCACAGAAAAAAAGGATTTTTTAAAATAACATTAAAGAAAATAAATTGCTAGTCTCAAGTATTTCTTTTTAATATTTTCCTAGTATTTAAAGCTGGAAGCTTTTTGGGGTAAGCTGCTCAGGTTGTTGTATATGGGTTGGGCACAGAACAAGAAATGTCTGCTTTACTCTGACTGACATGTAGGGGTGACTTCTAAATATACCTTCTGCAAATGGGATCTATTTCTTCTTCTTTCTTCCTTTCACTGTGCAGCTGGCTGTGTGGCACCTCTGTCAAAAACATGGAGGGCCCAGGACTACAAAGAAGGTCATTTGTAATGAGGAGAGAAGGTGGAGTCTAAGCTGTGGGTCTCATACTGGCCCTGCCAATAACTACAGCCTAGAGAGAGAAGGTCACAGTGCTGCAGGGCCCTGACTGTAAATGGTGTTTCTATCGCTTTAAAGACTACATAATTTCATTCCACTTAAGTCAGCAGACTGGGAATATGTGTAATGATCTTCTCTTCACCCTCCAGGGTCTGAGTAAGAATGGTTCCAAGACCAAGTTTTCTGGCTTCCATAAAGATTTCAAATGAAGAGTTTAAATCTGTGTGCAAGAATATTGAAGGTGTTATTAACGCTTGTTTGAGCTTTAGGAATGCCCTTTGACATCCTCCATTACTATTCCAAACAAGTGGTATAGGTATTCCAACTTAAATAACTGAAACCAATTCTTGCTTTTACAGGAAGTCTGAAGAGATAATTTTAACACTACCTTGACCACATTAAGGAAAGTTAAGTGGCTCCTTTAAAGAATGCCTCACCACGATATTGCTGCCTTTTTTTTTTTTTTGAATGACAGAAATGAATACATTTTTATGTATGCTGCCTTTTTTTTTTTTCATTTTTGAAAACCTGATGATTTTTTCCCCCCATTTATATTTAAGAAAAAAAATCCTTACCTTACGTTTTAGCATTCTGAGGGTTATTCTCCACATCATCTTTGATAGAAAATTTAAGGATTATGACTTTTTACTTCTCTTTTGTAAAATATCAATACTTTATGCTGAATCTAAGGTATCCCTGGAGGACAAGGGAAAGGTTACTGAGAGGCTGAATTTTCATCTACCTTATTCTACCTTTGGAAACATGTTCATTTAAAAGAACTGTATTCCATCTTTGAAATTTGATGATGCATAGGAATCTGTTTTTTAAAAATATGTTTTATTTTCTGGATAAACCCATCAGAAACAGTTTTCCACTATGGAGTCTGAAAGCCTTCTGGATCATTTAGCAATACACAACTTATTTTGTGCAGCTTGCAGATCATTATTGTCCACAAAAAGACAAACTTCACCCCCAGGTCCAAAAACCAGGAGTACCTCTGTGCAGTGGCAAGTGACAGGTACATAAACTCAAGAAATTAAACTGAGAATAAAATCTGAAGCATTATAATGATGCTTATCCACTGTATATCATATACCAATAACTCCTATATCCAGGGGCACATACAGTAGGATGAAGTAACCAAACAGGGCTGGATTAGAAAGGCCATTGCCCAGTGCTGCACCCCTGGATTAATGCTACTTTCTGATTTGAAAAAAAAATTAAATATAGAGGCAACCAAGCATTTATATTTATATATAAATATTATATTTAAAACAATATATATTAAAAATGCTCAAAACAACAACTTTCTAAGTCAGACAATTTTGTTAGAAGCCATGCATTTCTTCCTCTACAAAAAAAAGTCTGGAGAAGTTCATTATGCTTGATCTAAGCTTCAGCTTCTGAAACACAATATGGTGAGGTGCACAAGATGACTGTCCACTTTCTGAGTTAAGCTGTAATGTAAATATGCACCAGAAAGCCCTGGTGGAGGGAAAGCTGACTGAATCTGTGAAATCTATGTCTCAACTAAAGAAACAGAAGAACATTCCAGCAAATAGAATGCCTATGTAATGAGTTTTTACTAACAAATGAGTTTATACTAATAATTTCTGGATTCTGTGTAGCATGCAGCAGTGCAGTTAATAGCATTGACTGATTAAAAAACATCACACCTTCCTTTCTTAAATTCCATAGTCCTTCCTTCAAAATGGGGAAGCAATGTGGAAGAAGTAGGAAGAAAAAATATACCTCCTTTAATAAATTATCTCCCTGAACTAAAGAGTGCTTTGGGTTCTGGTTTGAGGCTTCTGGTAGAAAGAAATAGAGAAATGTCAAAAGCCCCTGCTAGTTTCAGGGAATTCAAGTTACGTAAAATAAGTTGCTGTGCAATATCTATCTTTTGTTCCTGTTCAGTTAGATATTTCCCCATATATTTTCCTTGCATACCAGTCAATGACGCCCTCAACTCCTGAAAAAAGCAGCAGCATAATAAAGAATATTTCTTTCATTCAGTTTGGTTGTCTTATAAAGTTATTTCATGGCTCTCCTGCAGCGAGGTGTGGCCTTAAAGTCAGGTGTCCGGCTGGCAGGAGGGCGGCCAACACCCAGCTGCAAATGTGTGAGCACCCCTCGGCGTCAGAAGGCTTCGGGCTGTGCTCACAGCGGACAAAATCGCTGCTGACCAACGAGAGTAGAGTCCGGACACTCACTGGGGACTTGTCAGATTTATTGTCAACCAGGGAGTGACAAACACCCAGGTGTTGAATCTAACGTGTCTACCAGCATGTGACCCAGAACAAAGAGTGTAACAGGGTTATAAAGGGGAGGAGGGATGTCAGGGAGGGGTTTACAAAGGACCAATAGTGGAAGGCAAGGGAGTGAACTTCGGCTAACTGACATGAGGAAAAACCCAATAGAAACAATGTAAAGGAGGGACCCTGGCGCCACAGCCAATCAAGTCTCCCTAAGCACAGAAGATTCTGGCAAACTAGGAGGGGTGGGGAGTGATTGACTGGGCCCAGGGAGGAGAACAAATTCACATATAAGGAAACACAGGGGAGGGGAAATGATATAACAGAGAGGATTGACATAAACTGTGGCGGGAGTAACCAAGGTAACCAAATGACAGACAATACCATGGCAGGAGTTGCCATGGGAACATAATAACTGACAAAGCTAAGGCGGGAAAAACTGGGAGGGCAGAACCATTACAGAAAATGGGGGAGCAATACAGAAAATGGGGGAGCAATTAAACAAACTAACAGAACACACTACAACACTCTCCTATTCATTAGTAGGATAATTATCTCAACTGCATATTAATAACATCATAATCTGCCATAATTTTATTTATTTGTGAATATAAGCTTCAAATAATTTAGTTTAAATAGAAATAGGGTGACAGGAAGAATAAAATCCATTGCATAGTGGATTTTTTTTTTGAAAAGAGAAAATAAGTAGAAAGCAGTTTAATCATTGAACAAATAAGTTTGAATTTAACCCAAAATATTAAAAAAAACCCCCGATGTGTGGTTAGTTGTCACAGTCCCCAGAAATATTCCATACAATGTGAGGAAGTAATTCAGGGAATGATTGCCAAGAGTTATTCAAATGCCAGTAAGGAATAAATTTAGGAAAATTATATGGTTATGGAGTTCCTGGATTTGTATATTATGCTAAATAGTCAACAATTTTTCATAAATATCACTGAGAAAAATCGTGACAAAAATCTAAGGATCACTTCCGTAATAGTAATGAAAATTCAAAAATCTTGCTAAAATGTGGGAACAATGATTTAATGAAAAAATGTTATTCTACTTCAATGTACAAAAAATAATTAATTGAACAAAATATATGGATAAGGTTTCTTTAATTAACACGTAAAAATAATTGCACTTCATAAAAATTTTAAATGTACAAAGCTGATGAGTTCAGGAAATAAGTACGGACACTTAGTAACAAATCAACAGAGTTTGTAACCTTTGTGTTCTAAAGAGAATTGTTTTTGTCACATGTAACAAATTATGCTCTAAATGACCAGAAACAAACTTTTCAAGAAGTTATCATATAGAGGGTACACTGTAATAACAAATTGTTGTGGCCTGAAACTTGATAAGGAGCTATGGATGACACATTGTAAATATATTTATCCCAAACTGCCACAAATGATAAAGTAAATAATTTGCTACTCCCTTGCTGATTTGTAACAATGCTACGCTGTGTTTTCAGATAGATAAGAAAGATACTCTCTCAGTTAAACATTTTTTTTTACTTTTAGATCGAAGTATAATATTTCCATGCTTCCCAGGTTATTTACATGGCATAAATTAGTCTAATATATTGTCTAATACTAGGAGTATCCAGAAAACATTTTCAAATCTGTTAAAAGAGGGCAGTCAGTACATAGCTTGCACTCTTTTAGTTTATTCTACTCTTCTGGGGGTCTTAGTTTAACAAGGTGTTCATACACCACTTAAAGCAAATTTCTTCTTGGACATTCATTAATATGATTAATATGCAGTCTTTTTTTGTTGTTGTTGTTGTTTTTTAATTGCTTTCCTTCCTCTTAGAAAAAGCTGGATCTTGAAGTACTCCAGGTTCATCCCCCAGCCTTTCCCTCCAGTCTCTCTCAGTCTAGGCAATTCTGGAAGTGTTAGTGGCTAACTGAAATAACCTGTAGAAATTTCTTCCCAGTTTACTCTGTCACAGTTCACTATGCAAAAACTCCCAGGAACAGTCATGTGGGATGTATGAGTAGCCCTTGTACTGCCCTGCAAAATTTTCTGTATATTATCCTCTTCTGTTTTTCAATAAAGCAACAACTAAAGGGACAGTTGAGAGATTCAGGTGGTTCTGCCTCCTCTCAGTCACATATGTAGCTCCCAATCAGACAGTCATCTTCACCTTCCCCTTGCTTCTTCCTTGAAAAGCATTTCCACCTTGCTGGGGGATTTTTCCTCAGAGTATGATGTAGTCTGAGCCCTGCAGGAAGAAAGTTACATCTGGCTGAAGAACATTTGACCTTCTCCATGTTAAAGCCCTGGTAAGGTAAGAGATAAAGGCCACATGAGTATCTGACTCCTCTTGTTCTTGCCTGTGAAGAAGACCTCTTTGTTCACCTTCTTATCTCCTGTGAGATGAATACAGCTGCAAATGAGAATTCAAAAATCTGAAATTATTGTATTTACACTGACGTATGGGTACTGTTATTCTAAAGGACTTTTCTCTAGTTTCACAGAGACATATTAAAGACTGTTACACTTAATTTATTTTTTATCAAGCTCTTCTTCTGCAGGTGCATTTATTAGTCTATAAATACCTTCTAGCAGGAAAATACAAGACTTCAGTGGCCTCCCATGTTCCAGTAGAAAGTGGTGAATATGACTAGGAGGATCCACAGGAGATACTTGCAGTTTATAGAAATAGGCCAAATTCCTTCCACTTGAGTCATAAGAAAACAATCAGTCTCACAACATCAAACTTAAAGCCCAATAGAGACCATTAAATCATCTAATATGACTTCTCATATATCACATCCCTTTAAACTTTTTTTCAGTTACACCTATAATGAATCCAAACAATCATGCTTAACAAAAGCATCTACAAGAGAGACCTGAAGATATATGTTGGGTGGATCGCTCTCCACTTGTATTAGTGCCAGCCAGGAGGACAGCTGGACTTTTGAAGTCAGCCAGCCAGACAGCCATCTGTGATGGAGAGGGAAACCAGGAGCACCACCAATGGCTGCCTCTTATTGGGATTTTGTCTTACTGCTCTCACTAAAGCCATTTCAGTTCTACCATATAATTTTACAGTTAGTTAACCTCAATGTTAAACCTTCCTGCCAAAGTTCACATTTAAATTATTTTTGAATTCAACTCATATCCAGTAATTCTTTTTTTTTCTCTTCAGTGTAACAGTCTTCCAGATCTGTGAAGTTTTCCTGATATTCCAAGATTAATTACTAATTAATATAATTGGACTATGAGTGCAATAAGATAGCTTTAAAAAATGCCCAAAGATATGCCTCTGTGCCCATGTCATTTAAGTCAGATTATTTAAAATGTTTATTCCTGCTGGAATATTACTTCATTTGCTGATGGATTAGGTAGCACAGAATAAAATGGCATTTATTGAACATTTGTTTGGTTTTTTTCCTGCATCACTACTGACTCCACTTCAAGGAAATGCTGACAATTCACAAAGTAGGGCTCCTGCTAGGAGTACTGTAGTTCTTCTACCATATTTACTCAGTTATGGCAGCTAGGTACAAGCTACAGATTTGAGGTAGTCTTGCAAAGAAATTATCTAAAAGCACAGATGAATAACTGGAATCAATAGTCGGAAGTATTCTGCCATTCAAATGTCACATGCAAAAGGCAGATTTCCTTGACCCTTGGTATTTGATTTGTCTGTCAGTACTCCAGGGAAGCTGAGACCCTTGTGACTGATCATCTGTCAGTGTCCCGTTGTGGGGATCCTTCACTGAGCAGTCCCCTGGATCCAGCAGTTGTTTGACTGACTTGTTTGGGGACACACTCCACAGCATAACAGAGACCCCTCAGTGGGTCTTCCCACTTTATTTGGATATGCTGCCCACTGCTGGGAACCGATAATGCCCATGAAGGACTTGCACTAACAGTTTATGGAGTAACACTCTTTGTTAACATAAAAATGTGACAGGTTAAGGTTTAAGGATTCCTGTTGATAGTATCTGACTGCAAAAATCTATTCAAAGCAATGCACAGACAAGCCCCAAAGCCCAATAAAAGTATTCAGTGTGCATAGTGGTGTTCTTTCTGAATAGGCAAGAACATATTTTTCTAATATGTTCTATTATATTTCTAATAATAAAAAATAGTATTTTCTGTGGAGGAGAAAAGAGATTCAGCCTGTTGAGTGATCCCGGTAGTTACAATGGAGTCTTCCCCAACTTTTCCCCATTATCAACTTCATTTTATGCTATTTATTTGTGTTTAGATGGAGCCTGAGGGACTCTAGTCATATCTGCCTTTGTTACTGATTGGTGTAAAATCCTCATGTTTCTCTCTTAAATATACAGTCAATAAAATATACAGAACATGCTCAGTAGAGGGTGGTTTTACCTTGGAAATGGGTAACTTTGGGATGGTAATTAGTATTACAGTTAGTTTTGTAATTCCATCCAGGGAGTAGTACCTGTATTTTACCCTATAATTCCTATACCACTATGACTTCTACTGGGATATGTATACAACATCTCAGTTTCCTCTAATTTTAGTCCTAGTCATCTCTCCACATCAATTTTACAATAATACAAGATAGGACCATTCAACTCCTTTGAAAAATAATACCTACATGCAGGTTTGTCTAATCTCACCACTTTGAATGGTCATTTTTCCTACTTACTGGAGTGGCAAGGTCATAACCAAACAATAAATAGGACTGGTTCAAAATCTAGAACATAATTTAATAATGGACATAATGCACTTTTTGGATAATTACATTTACCAATCAATACTCATACAACTTTGTTTTCCTATTAGTTATCAAAAATAACGTGTTAAGACAATTTTGTGTAGGGGTTTCACATTGTGTGAATTTGGTGAAGCAGGTGATTCACAAATCTGTGGCAGGTTTTAGGCCTTAGAATTATTTCAGTGTTTAAAGTTACTAATATTAAACATCTTGCTGAATGCATCAATTCACATCCTTCATCAGAGCTGTTCACCACATAAGATGATGACAAAAAGACAACAGAATGAAAGCTATTAGCTCAGTAAGAGGAACCAAGTATGTGCTTATCCTTAAAAAGAGGAATAGCAGTAGCTAATGGGTTATGAGAACCGATAAAAGCAATTGTGATCAGAGTGGTCTCATGTGAGAAATTTGCACTGATGTCAGGGTAGTCAGAGAAATAAGGGGACAAAGGTAATCTTTTTGCCCTCAACAAAGAAAAGACAGCATAACAAAGTGTTATTGCAGTCATAACATCTTCCAGATTCTGCCTAAGAACAAAGTCCTTGTCCAGATGATGAAGGATCACATGAAGTTAAAGGGCGGATTCAGAGAGAAGAAAGGCGCGTATGACCTAATCACAACCATGTGTAACATCGCTGATAAAAGGAGGATAGTGCAATCCTACATTGATCATGTGTTCAGCTTCTCAATAATTTTGACACCATCTGATGTGACCAGCTCTAGATTTCCAGATGTAGAAACTCTAACCCATCTCATTGAACTCTTCACAAGTTTCTGTCAGCAGCCAGAGAGAAGAGTGTGAGTAGCCACACGCTGCAGCAACTGGTTTTCTCTCAGCCAGAGGGTGAGACGAGGATTTAGTATGTAGGCAATAGTTGCAGGAAAAGGGTGGGAAATATTTGGAAGAGCTGAAATGCCTGAGCCTGGTATTGTTTGACACATCTAAAACAACTTCAGGTGCACAAAATTACTTTGCTTATACTACTTCTCCAATATAATGAATTTGAAGGAAGTAAAAAATACACTAGTGGGGAATGCAGCTTACCTCAAAGTCATGGAAGTGAAGTGAAGTGAAATTAAATGGGTAAGTTTGTTGATTTGTCAAAACAGGAGACAGGCAAAAATCCCTGTTAATGGTCTAGTTGTACACAGAGTGAATGACTGTAATTATTAAGGATCAGAAACATTTTGCCAACTTAGAATATTTCATTTTGTTGTGGACTCCATTGTAAATCATGTGAAAGATTTCAGCATCTTTGATTGCTAATATCTTTGACTTCTGAAAACTTAAAGGTGTGAGCTTTGTTTCCTAATCTGCAAATGTATATTCATAATGGGAAGTTAACTGCTGCTGACAGGACAGCTGCAGTTAACTAGATAGCATTTGAAATGTCAAATTGCTGTTGGGACTTCAAATGTAGTTTACAAAATTTCTGTCATAGTGTCATAGAGAATAAATTGCTTTCTCCTATTTTGTTCTCCCATGCATTTTTTAAATTTAACAGAACTTTTCATTGTAATGGTTAAGGACTACAATGAAGAAAAAGGGATAGAAAAAAGAGGGATAATTAGTGCATTTAGCATGAGGCACAATTCCACAAAGACTTCCCCGGGTTCTCTGTCCATCTTGGTGAGAATTCAGTTTGATGTAAGATGTCTTCAGTGGGCTCTTCGTACAGAGACATATGCTCCAGAGTGCTGCCCATTCTCTGAGGCAGGGCTGGGTAGATTTTTCTGTGGATATCAGCAGGTGTTTTTCCACTGCTTTACACAGCACAGCCTGTTCTTGGAAGGGCTGGCTCTTGCAGGCATTGGCAAACAATAAAAAACTTCCTTCCATTTGGCAAACCACGGCCTTTTTCACACAAGTTGGTAGGGGCTGTAGAGGAAAGAATATTACCCATGTACAGCCTAAAGCGCAGGATAGAGTTATGAGTTCAAATTTGCTCTCTTCTGGTCCTCTTGTCCTTCACACACAAGTTTGAGGAGATGGTGCTACCACTTTGTGACCGTGGAACGTTGCCAGTGGTTCAGAGATTTTCTGAGAATGCAGAATATAGGAAATCGTTCACTTTGTTCTCCTACCTGAGGTGGGAAATTTTGCCGCTTACCCGTTTGTATTCTTGAAATATGGGAGCTGAAAAGCTGGGGGAGTGGGGTATAATTGAAAGTGCCTGAGGCCTCAGTTGAAAAAATTACAGTATCAATCACAGAATGCAGTAAGATTTTTTTATCATTTTGCTTTGATTGTTGTTGTTAACTGTACTGCATTTTGTATTGGCTTTGATGATTTACAATTCTAAGAATTCAGTGTAAAAATGAGATTATCTATTTTGAAATGTATCTAAAATCAGGGAATTAATTAATGAAGTATTTCAATGCGTTCTAAATCAAAATGATTTGTGGGTATGAAGTAAATATGAATAAAATATGAGGTTTGAAAACTTCATTAAACAACTTTTTCTTTATTTCTGTTCCCAAATCAAGAATAATTTTCCTCTAGTTACATTTGAGGACTCATG